CGGAAACGAGGATTGATTCGACGCCCAATATTGGGCGCCATCGCTCATCGGCAGACTCTTGCGCGTTCATTTGGTCTTCACCGGGCGGGTGCAAGATCGAGATGCACACGACGCCGCTCGGGTATACGTTCGGGTGCCACATGTCGGAGATGAAGGTCATCTTCGGGGGCATGTTGGGAAAGTCCTTCGGAAACTCAAGGCGCGCGCGGGAAAGTAAACCGGCCTTCGTACAGCGTATCGGGGGGACCCACGAGCATGATCTCCCAGTGGAAGATGTTTTCGTCGTCGCCGAGGCCGACGCTGACACCCTCTGGCGGGTTTCGGCTCAGCTCTAAGTGTAGATTCAAGGATTGAGGTTCCTTCTTCATCTGCGGCCTCATGTGGGCTTCCACTTACCCGTGAGCTGGCGGCGGAGAAGTTCACGGCCGTAGTCCATCTCGGCTCTTCGTCACCCAAAGGAAATTCGCGAATGGGGCAGCAGCACCACGTCGAGAGTTCGATTTTTGACCAATCACAAAAATTCGAAAAATCCACCAATCAGGCAACCTTCTAGAAGCCAACATGGACACGAACTGGCTCAGTCGAAGATCTCGCCAAATTGGCGATGCTTATTACCATCACTTTTCGTCATAGTATAGTACATCTAATAGACGACTACGGACTATTAATAGTAACCCGACTGTCCATTACTATGTGGTTTCGCCATAGTACTATATTACTATAGTAAATCGTGCGATAGTACTAAAAGTTCTACTATTTACTAAAAAAGCGCTTGTCGGCCGCGCCCATGCCAGACAGGTCTACGCCAGCCTAAAAAAGCCTAACCCAGTCGATGTCGCGCTTAAACCACCCATTATCGAACAAGTATTACAATGTATTATCATTTGTTGGCATGCATGAGGATCTGCAGCTTCTCTGCACGGCTCGATTCGAGGCGCGTTCGCTTGGCGTTAAGTACAAAGCCGGCGGTCGAGAAGAAGCGTTCTTGGTATGCGTTTGACATGGGTCTAGCGAGGTAGATCCGGGCCGGCGCAGCGACGCTCGGGAAATCCTTCTCGCCAGTTTCGCGGAACCACGCGAGCACATCAATGTGCTTGTACAGCTTGCAAACGTCGTAGGACTTGTCGACCTCGGTGTTGGCGGCATGCCACACATTTGCTTTCGTGGAATTCTCCCACAAGACTTCGAGTTCCGCCCAGCGCTTCCACACCTTGTCCGCTTCATCTTCGACGTACGTCCTGGACTTCGACGCACTTCCGTAGCTCGTTTCCACGTCATTATCGACCGTGCGGAAGAAATTTCATACCTTGGGCTGGCGCTTGAGTCGCGTTTGGCGCGTGGGCGTCGACCGCCTGCGCCGTGTCGAAGGCTTGGAGATCGCCATTGACCCGGCCGGTCGTTTTCTTGGCCATGGCAATCGCAATCGGATGCGACTTGTGCTTGCGCATCACGTGGTCCTTCGCGTTGGACGTGTTGGCCATTCTGTAAAGGCCCTCGCGCCAGGCATTGTGTGTACCATTCTTGGCGGCAAAACTTCTTGTACACAGCGTGCAAACGTGCGTGTAAAGCGCGCCATTGCGCATCACGGCAGGGTTGAGCCTGTGGATGGTCTTCCACACCTCATTCGGTCCGTGGCGTGCGTGATTGACCGACGTTGGGATCCCGTCCGAGTCGAATGAAACGCTGCGAGCATGTGGCCAACCGCCACGGTCGTCGCTTGGCACTGACTCATCGAGTGGCGGCGAGTCGCACGTCTTGGTCTCTTCTTCGTCATCGCTCTCTCGTCAGCTCATTGCTGCTCTTGCATAAGTGATTCATAGTAATGTATTACCCTACCAAGTACTATTATTATTAATATATGACTAGCACTTACTATTGATATTTTAAATGCGTAGTACTATTTAAATTCACGATTAATATAGTAGTTTTTGTAGTACTAAAGTACTATGCAAGTATTCACGTGGGAGTTACCTGGTAGGGATGGTTGGGTCTGTTAGAATTAATATCCTTTATAAACACATATTATCGAGACGGTCGAGACGCTAGCCAAGGCCAATCGAAGTTCGAGGCAAGAGTATGCGAATTTCGAGGACGAGGAGGACGATAGGAGATCGTCATGAGGACGAGGAGGATCGCCTCCGTGTCGGCACATTCCAACAACAGGATATCATGAACGTCATTACAGTGTAAAGGTGAGTTAACTATGAGTGTTGGGCCGGTTCTTGCTTGACGCGCTTGGCGTTGCACTCGTCCTTGTGTCTTGAAGCTGCCGTGCTTGAAGTTCGGGTTCTGTTCCAAGAGGCGAGCTCCGTCGTTGTTGCGGTGCTTGGCAAGGCAAACCATTATCGCTGCAAGAGTCAAAACGTTGAAAGACACGCATGGCCTGGTCGCGGGGCATGGCGCTGAACACCAACACACACTGGATCTTGCCATGGGTCGTCAACATTGGGACCGGGCACGTCGACATCCTGCTCGCCACCCACGAACGACGCATCCCTGGGTCACTCGAGCCCCCGCGGGCAAGAATCTAACGTACACAGAAATTGCCCGCATTAGTATTGGTGATTCATGACAAGGGACAACATACCGGCTCCAGGTCCGCGCCTAGAATAGCCCGTCCATACTCATCGTCTAAAGCTGTACTACGCGGCTGAGTCTTGTAATCAATGTACTCTGCGATGGTTCTCGCGCCCATCGATGGCATGCTTACGGGTACACGGTCGTCGAGGAAGAGCAGCGACTCGTAGTCGCCGCGGAGCAGGCAGTACTCGGCCAAACCGTTCCACACTTTTTCGTACGCTGCAGCTGTGGTGGAGGGCTGGCCCCTCTGGAACATGTTGACCTCGCCCGGTCTCAAAGAGAGCGAGTACTTCACAAGCGCGGCGGCGCGCCCGGCAACTGCCAGCCTTTCGAGGCGCGCGCGCCGTCCTGGAGCCACCTTGAGAACCCGAGCGCGCATGCGCCGCCCGCTCTTGTTCGCGACGCGGGTGGTCGTGCGCTTTGCTGCCGGCGCGCGCGTCTTTGATACTCGAGCCTTCCGTGCCGACGGGCCTGACGCACCAAACGTTGTCTCGCCATGGAAGGATCTAAAGTGACCTTTGCCAACCACCGAAGATCCAACGGACGAAACGATCCATGCGAAACTGCTACAGTAACTAGATCCCAACCGG